GGTTAGTAAAAACTGCCAGGGCAGGTTAGAGGTGCAGGACTTCAGAGGTAGTATTTTATTCTTATCTACATAAAATATAAACTGTATGTTAGCAATAAAGGTCAGAGTTTTTTTAATCAAAATATAATTAAAACGAGCAGTCCAAGGATTGTTTTAAAGAGTGTTTGTGTGTGTGTGTGTGTGTGTGTGTGTGTGTGTGTGTGTCAACTATAAATATATGGGTAGGTTGGCCTAAACAAAAAGTTTTGAGCTGTACTGAAGACAGTACAGCTTTGTGGCTGAATGTGAATTTGAACATGGCTCTTCCATGTCTAAATCCAGCACTCTAACCACTACACAAATCTCTCTGTCTCTCTTGTCATGTCTGAAGCCACACTGAATGATCACAGTGACGACAGTCATACTGGGAAAATACATATTCCACTGCAGGTGACATACTCCACTGAAGGAAACAAAATATGCTTGAAGTAGTCGTTTGATATAAGTCTCTATATCAATGCATTCAAGTTAAAACGTGGAAGTTAGGTGGGGTTAGTTGCTTTGCTTTTGTTCTGTTAAGCAAAACTTTTGAAATATTTAGTATTAAAAATACTCCTTTGGTTTTCCACCAAGGGTTCCATGACCCAGATTTGATTGGAAAGCTACTACAGTACTGTATTAGAACAATGATTCACTTTGGAAAAAATCTGGTATAAAGTTTATGAAGAAACTAGTTTAACAATTCTAAAAAGTGTTCGACAGGAATTAGAGCTGCACTGTTTTGAAAATGAAGGGACCTCTTTTAAGGTAAACAAAGGATGCTCTTGCCAGCTCTGTTCTATGATCTAATATAAGAAGACCCTCTGTCATGTTTGCTTCATTATCTTTTCTCAGGGCTGCTTTACACATTATTATTTTTTAAACTATAATTTATTGCATTTATTTGTTGCCTAAACTGTCTCAAGGCAACTTACAATTGTAAAAGTATACAGAATATTAAATTGAAAACAGCATCAAAAAGTGCTCACCTTGCATCCTACGCATGAGTTTTGGCTTGTGCATAGTAGAGGTTTATTGTATAACCAACTTACATCATATATCTGTGAGGTTGACTCATACATTTCTTTCACTTTATGTGCCTTGCAAAGAAACACTGCAGAAAGCTGTTCCCAGTAAGGTAAAGGTAAAGGGACCCCTGACCATTAGGTCTAGTCGTGGCCGACTCTGGGGTTGCGGCGCTCATCTCGCTTTATTGGCCGAGGGAGCCGGTGTACAGCTTCCGTGTCATGTGGCCAGCATGACTAAGCCGCTTCTGGTGAACCAGAGCAGCACACGGAAACGGCGTTTATCTTCCCGCCGGAGCGGTACCTATTTATCTACTTGCACTTTGATGTGCTTTCGAACTGCTAGGTTGGCAGGAGCAGGGACCGAGCAACGGGAGCTCACCCCGTCATGGAGATTTGAACCGCCGACCTTCTGATCGGCAAGTCCTAGGCTTTGTGGTTTCACCCACAGCGCCACCCGCGTCCCTGCTGTTCCCAGAACATGTATTAAATGTGAAATAAATAGACCCTCACACACTAGAATGAACACAGCAGGTGCATGCAAATCTGTAGTACCTGTTTGTTATTGCATGATGGCAAATTTTGATAATGTCATAGGTGGAAATGTTGTCCAAGTACACACACTTTTTAGATATAATGCTGTCCTGATAGATAAACCAAAATATTATTTCTACATTGACCTAATGACAATCAGAGTAATATTAGGTCAACCTGGTAATTAAACCAAGTATTATTTATTCATTAGCCAAATGGCATTCAGAACAATATAAGAACTGATTCAATGAAGAGCAGTAATGCATTAAAGCCTTTCAGTCTAACCAAACCTAGTTAAACCAAGTACTACTATTTCAGGTGATTACTATAGGGTTCAACTAACAGCCTCGTTATCATCCTTTTAAGGTTGTTACTTGGTTAGCCTTTACAGTTTTACAGGAATTGATTTTTTTTTTCCTTAGGAAAACATAGTATTTAATATTTATAGATTTGACTTCCTACAGTCAACATTATTCCTTTGCCTCCCTCTCAGTGGCTTGCCCTCAATATTCAATGCTGGGTGTCCTTGTTTCTCATTTTGCTAATGTAATCAAATGTGTGTGTTTGTGGATTATGAAGACTCCTATCCCCATCCTTATTACCTGCTAGTCATAATGGAAATTAAGAATAAGCAGCAGCAGCTTTTTCCCCTTTTGTGAGGCAGCAGTACAAGTCCTTAAGTCCAGCCTCTTGAAAGACAGGTTATTGGCTCTTTCTCAGTACAAAGAAACCTTCAGGCTACTGGTGAGATTAGAGCTCTAACATTATGTTAAGACCTGCTCCTGCTTGTCAGAATTTCATACGCTGCTGCTGCTACTAAGCATGCATGCAGAAATTTGGTAAACATCTTAAAATAAGAGACAAATGTCCTCCTCTCATATTATATTAGAATCTGCTACTAGTTAAAGGGATATTTATTAGTAACATCAGATGAAGGAAACCTAAAGGAAAGGTATGGCTTGTCTCACTGCACTGAACAAAACAAAACTAAGGATACAATCCTAACTCCACTTACCTGGGAGTAAGCACCACTGAATTCAGTAGAACTTTGGAGTAGATATGGTTAAGATCGCTTTGCAGATTATCCAGATAGGCGATGCCACTCTGCTAAGCAGGAGAAACAGACATAAGAAAAGAGAAAATAATGTTTGAGGGACCAATGTGGTGAAATCTGAGGAAATAAAATATATTGAGAGTGGTTTGTACCATTGGCAAAGTGCTTACAATAGAGTATGATAGAAGAAAGGAATTTGGCTGCTGAAGTATCACACAGCCTGTATGGCAGTTCATATTGTTACACACCACCCCAAACTCTGAGTGGTGAGAGACTTCAGGGGTTCCAAATGCATACCCAGGGTTCGGTTTTCTTGGAATTAGGATCAGCTGAGACTGTGGTGTCTTTAGGTTTTATTTACACATATATACAACCTGAACACAAGACAGGCTGCGGTGACAGTGATGGCCAGTGAATGAGTGCTGATTTTAATCTCTGGAATACAGACTTTAACCAAAGGAGTGTTATTTTTCAATGTAGATAAGTTTAAAATGATTTTTTAAGTACGTCTGCTTCTTCATGTGGATGTGGCATATGTTAAGTTTGCACTCTGGTCTTTGACTGAAATAAAGATTGATTGATACAACCTGAGCATAGGATGGAGGGACAGACACCAATAGCACTCCAATAGATCTTACTTTCCCATTTGGTTTACAGGGGAGCCCAAATATCCAGCACGGAGTAAACATGTATTTGTGCCTCCAGCTTCCAGCCTGCTTCCAGTCACTCACACACAACACTGTCTATTGATCTCTACATAGCAGCTACTGTAGGTGAGTGGGGCAGGAGAAAGGCCCATCCATTTGTTCTATGGCACAGAGCAACTTATTTGGTTGTGCTAAATCATGATACTTAACTAGCCAGCCAAATCCTTTACCTGGACAGCGGAACTGGTTTGGCCAGCTTCCCCTCATACATTTTACCCTCACAGATACAGGGTCCCCAGTTTGGAAGGGAAACCAGGGTTTTATCCAGACTAACCCTCCAAACTCATAACACTATGTTCTCATGGGGGAACCCTGTGGATGGAGCCACAAAGAAGTGTAGGCCAGAACATGGACACTGAATCAGTTGTTTCTTACAGTGATTTCTCTTAATGCAATCAGTGGATCATTTTTTCATGCAATTCATTGTCAGAAGCCAATATATGCCAATACATGCTATTTTATTATTAATTTAGATTTTGAATATCCATATAGCACAACAACAACAAAATCACTGCAGTTTACATAGTAAAATTGGGCAACAATTAAAACTTCCTAAATTCTAAAAGGTTTTATTTCAGTTTTATCTGCACTGTTCCTTGAAGAGGACATACCTTGAATCTTGTAGGGTTCTTCAGGAAGATGGGAGCAGTGTCTCCTGGCTCCTGGAACTCTTGGTGGAAAAGGCTCTTCGAGGACTTGTGGTATAAAATATTCTCCCGCAAGCCTCATTGGTGTTGTTGCTTCACTACATCTTCAACAGACACAGGGGTATACCATAGGAAACCGGGGCCTTTTCTCCTTTATTCAGGCATGGAATTATTTAATTCATCCTTTTTCAGCTAAAACAGCTCTGAAAGCAACTTACAAAGAGGAAAACACACCATTATTACCTTTACATTTCTTACCATTAGGGATGAGAACCTATACCTCATTCTATACATTTATTCTGTGGGTATGCTCAGCTATTTTCCAACCCTCCTGAGTTCTTCTTTAACAGATTTGCTAAATTTAATTCCAGAATTAGAGCACCTTTCTCCCCTATGCCATACTAATATGTAATCATACATTGATAAAACCCCACAAAAGTAATCTCAATGTGATTGTACAGCATGTGTAATTGCATCTAGACAGCTTTCATGCTGTTCAACTGTTATGTATATGTCGTTCTGTATATTGGTAACCAACCCTCTCCACCCAGTTTTGATACAGCTGTAAGCAGTAACAGAAAGGTTGCTTATTTTTACTGTTTCAACAAAGCACACAAGTGGTTTATTATTAGTAAAACAATCCATTCAACTAGGTATAGCATGTAAATGTGCATAAATTCTATGTCCTTTTTGATGACCCATTTCTTGGTGACGTAAGTGGCTACCCTATCCAGTCTTCATTTCACACTTTTGTTGCTGTTCATAATTAGAGTAGGCAAAAAGTAGATTTCTATTCAGGTGTGCAAGGATCATGTGGCGCAGCCATTCTGCACTAATTATAATCTTCTGTTAAAGTGTGCGGCTTCAGTTTTTTGAAAAAAACGGCAGCCGTAAATACATAAATCAAACCCATGATTATTTTTCTGCTACACATATAAAGAGAGCGAAAGCTTTGCATATTTAACTTCTGCTTATAAGTCTTCTGTTAAAGACATGGACTAGAGGAGTGCAAAACATGGCAGGGAAAAGTGAAAATAGGAGGAAGCCTCCCCAGTACTCTTCCGTTTTAGGAGTAAGGTAAGAATGAAAACACTTATTATTTGAAAGCAGAAAATAAATCCCTTTCTTTGTGATTCAAAACTAAACCTTCCCTACGGGTGGAATCGGATACGTCGCCCTATTTTTCACAGCCAGCCGCTCGCTCCCCTTACACTCAGAAACGCTGCACAGCCTGACAGACCGGCCGGGAAAAAAAACAATTCCTCCAGAGCAGGAGCTGCGATTGGTCGCTCAGCCCTTGACTGCAGCGGCAGCTCGACGTGGCTCTCTCGCCGCTCCATTGGCCGCCGAGTTGCGGGGCGGAGCCTCCGCTCGTTCTGCGTCGGAGACCAAACAAACCCGGCGCCCAGTCCGAAGGGAAAGGAGGCGGGGCTCGCAGGCCCTCGGCTGTAAATGCGATCACGTGACGCCACTGTTTACATCCTCTCAGCTGTTTGGCTCTTTTTCGCCTTCTCTCTCGCTCCCCGCCCCCCTCCGCCTCTCGCAGCAACACAAACAGTCGGGACCCGCGGCGGCGCGTGAAGGGGGCGGAGAGTGGCTGACCCTGAAGAGCGCCTGCCCTGGCCCACCCTTCGCCCTCCTCAACCACCCCGTTGGCCGTCTGAAAACAAGCTCCCTTTTACCCCCCCCTCCGCCCCCTGAGAAGTGGGCGCCTGAGGGCTTTCCTTCCCCGGCCCCGCTTCCCTCAAACTCACGCCAAAGCTTCCCTCTCCCTTTCCCCCTTCGGGAGCCAGAGGACACTGCGGAAGGGTGAGTGTCTGGTGGTGGACTCACGGGGGGGGGCGGAGGGGAGAGTGAGAGGGGCAGTTGCTGGGGAAGAAGAGCAACGGCGGGGGCCGCCGAGGCGCTTATGGCGTCGCCGACGTCGGGGCTGGAGCCCAATGTCCCAGCTAGTGATTCTGCGCCCGCATTTCCTCCCCCGCCCCCCATCGCGTCCGGCACGAAGGCCGTTGAGAAGTCCAGCGGCGCGAGACCAACTGTCCGCGCACCACTCGCCTGCCCCCCCCCCCCCCCAGCGGAGCGCTCGTTGTGTTGGCACCTCTTGACGCGGGAAGGCCCGCGTTGGGGAAAGCGGATGGGTGAGGAGGAGAGCGCAAAAGGGACTCGGAGACGCTTCCTGCTTTCTCCTTCCCTGCGCAGTTAAAGCAGCACGGCTAGGTGGGTTGGTTTTTTAATTTACATATATATCGGGAAGCGTAAGTGCTTCCCTTGTTTAATTCGGGATCCTGAGACCGGTCGGGATGTTGGTGGGGGGAGAGAGAGGGGCAAATAATGTTCACCTGCCGCTCTCTCGCAACCTTCTTCCCTCCCCACCGCGGTTCTAGCAATGAAACGAGGCGGGCCTTTCTGCTCTCCGTGCTTTTGCCTCGGAGCCGGGGCTATAAAAGGATAAACAAGTTGGTGGAGTCTCCGCCGACGCTGCCGTCTGTCTGCTCCTCTCCTTGCTCTGCCTTTTTGGCCGCCAGTTGGCTTCGTTTTGAAGAGGTGCCAAAGAGGAAGAGGAGAGCAAATGAGCCGCTCCACAATAAAGAGGCGGAGGGCGCCAGAGTCGCCTCGTCACAAGGTTGATGGGGGGGGGGGACAGAAGCAACGTCATTTGTGTCCCCTCCATTCCAGAATTGTTCCCTACAAATCATCCCTCCCCTACCCGAGTTAAAAGAAGCCACGCTTGGCCTTAACGTCTCTGACGACACGGGCCAGGAAAATGTACGCGTCAATACATTTCTCAGGCTTGGACGTGCCACCAGGCACTCTGTTGTGTTTGTTGCAACAAGCTGGCATGGCTCCTCCTCAGGAACTTGTCACATTTTCCTTCTGTTTACACTGAAGGTTCTGCATTGAACGCTGGAGGGGGAGAGGCAAGGGGGCTTGACTGCTGGAGAGGCGCTTGCCATTTGCTCTCTTGTTTCTATTTTGGCTGGAAGGAAAAACGAGGGCGGCCCCTCTGCATGGTTTACAGAGACTTGCCTCTAGCTCCTTGCTCTCACTTGTGGGCTTCCTGCATTTCTGCTCCCTCCTTTGTGTGCACAGTTAGGTGCTCAGAAAGTCTCTGTGTCTGGCTCCACGGTAGAGGAAGAAGTCTTTTTTTGTACGTTGTTTGTAACGCAGCAAAGCAACACAGGGCCTGGCTTTTGCTATCTCCTCTTTCTGGTGTGTTTGCCAAAGGAAAGGACCTCTTGTGATGGCTGCTGTTGACCTTGAGGCAAAAGCTAAGAGATAAATATCGAAAGGGAGTCAAGAATCTGTGATTGCAGAATGTGGCCTCCCATTCAATTTGTGATTACTGGCTAGTCTCCTGGTCTGACCTAGTTCAGAGCCATTTATATTTGCTCATTGTAGTACTGACTGGAGAGGGTCAGTTGTACAACACTGATATTTGGAAATATGAAATACCACGTGTTATTTTTAAGTAAGATAAAAACAAACCACTCAGCACTGCTTTTACATTTCATCTAAGAAGAGTAAAACATTGGATGCAAAACATTTTTTTCTGCCTCTAATTCATATTTATTCTATTTGAAGCATTTATTTGAAGCCTTAAAAGGTTCTCATAGTGGCTTACAAAAATAAGTACTGAGAGGTATGCTGCTGTCAGACTTTAATACACAACAGAAAAATATATTGTGGCAAGGGTGTATAAAGCAAACTCAGGGAGCTATACAGTAGTTCTTAGTTACAAAGTTCTTTATAACTGTTAATTCTAGAGGACTAGGTAGGTGAAAGAAGCTTCCTTTAGTTCTTTCTCTGGCCAATGAATGGAGCCAGGTTGGTTTTTCTCTTGCAGCCTTCCAGTGACTTGTGGTTTACTGGTCAGTGGAGCATGTGCTGCCTACCAGTTGCTGTCCCTGGGTAAGGGGAAACTGAGTTCCCTTTAGCAAATATTGTTAGATTTGGTGCCAAAGTAAAAGACCTAATGTTGCACTTGTCACTGTAGAACAAATTAAACTTGACATCTTATTTTGCTGAAGGTCTGTTCATTACTGCAGAAGTGGCCTGATCGTATTCTTTCTTCATATGCCAGTAGCAGCTTATGGTAGTTGTTGGTACCTAATATAAGGTGTGCAAAATATGTGACAATATTAACAAGCTTGCTTTGTCATGTTCCAGACAGAAGAGGTACATGAAGGGCCTGAGGGGAAAACATCCATGAAGAAAGCAGGGGGGAAAGAGGCAACATAGCAATGAGATATACGCTCTTGGCTACCAAAAAGCATTGTCGTCCCCGCCTCGCCCCCCGCCCACCATAACCTCACTTCTGATAACAACCCCACATCATCCACGCATGGAACAGTGTGATTAATACTAATGGTGTTCCTGCTGTAGAACTTAGATCATATCAAGTCCACATTACCTTCTTCCTAGCCCAATGCCTAGGTGAACAGTGGCATGCCTAAAGTCACAAGTTAGGGTTGCCATATTTCAAAGAGTGAAAATCTGGACACAAAAGTTGAGCTTTGAAATTGTTGAAATCAACATGCAGGGAGGAAGAATATGAATATGAATTTTAAGTTTCCATTTCGAAATTCATACGCTTCCTGAACAAGCTTGTATACAAGTTATAGTAAGTAAAAACATACTGGTTTGCAACCAGTTGAACCATTTGTACAGCTGGGTGCATAATCATAACTTTATTTCTCTTTTGTCTGATATGGTTGGTAGAAGAGAAGGGGGTAAGGGACAGTCACCTCAGCTTCTCTGTTGAATTCAGTGAGATAATTTTATATCACCTATCTGGTTGGCATACTATTACACTGGCTCCAGGTGCAGGACTGACGTTGGAAATGAGTGTAGGATTCTAGCTAAGCTTTTCGTTTGTTCCCTTCCACACTCCCGTTTTGACCACGTTTTCTTCTTGTGCTGGCATTGCCAGCATAGTTGTGTCAGTGTTGTTATACTGCTGGCAAGACAGTAATATTACACTGGTGTGAATACACTATACCAGCATAATGTCTTGCTGGTGCAGCAGAATTTAATAGTAATTCTATCCCTGCCCAGCAGATATAACTTGATGATAGGATGTCTCTGTTTAGTCTTTTGTTTTTTAAAATGTTGCTTAGTTTAAGGCCTAGTACTGCAAGTGCCTTTTTATGCAGTTTTTCAAGGTCTTGATGAGTTTCATTTAAGTTTTCCTCTGTATAGTATCTGTGAATATTTGACGGCATTTAGACAAGATTGCCTTTTTTGCAAACAAAAGGAGTGAGGAGAAAAAATGTTTCCAATTGTGTTTAAATATATAGCTAGAAATTAAAGTTTCAAATGCCAGGAATGTGGTCTTCTGTTATTTTTAGACTTGACCTCACTTGCATTTTCTCATGATGCAGTAATTTAAGCTAAACAAACCTGAAGTCATGTCTGAGAATTTGCTAGTTTTACATATTTCACAATCAAATGTCTTAATTCCAGCAATATTTATAAATATATATATTGTATAGAATGCCTTTCATTAAAAAAATTATGATGGTGTACAACAACATTTATAAAATGCCATAAACACAGTACTAAATAATTATAAAAATTATCGGTTTATCTTAAAAAGTTTAAACCACTGAATAGGTATTTCATATTTTTTTAAGTCTTCAAGAAACTCCTGTAAATTAGAAATGAGGTTGTCTGCTGCTTCTCTGCTGGAAGAGTGTTCCACAGCATGGGACTGGCAGCATGAAATGCCCAATTTCTAGTGGAGGCCAGTTTGACTTCTGAAATATAGGGGGAAACTAACAGCACTGCTCCAGGTGATCTTGATGATCAAATCAGAATATAAGGGCTCAAGCGGTCGTTAAGGTATCCTGGACACAAGGTGTCCAGGGCTTTGCATTGCAAGGGGATGGACTAGATTACCCTGGGGTCCCTTCCAACTCTACAGTTCTATGATTCTACTATTGAACCTGGCCTGGTAGCATATGGGCAGGCAGTGCAGATCTTTTTACAGAGGTGTAACATGGTTTTGGCCATCTGCCCCCTTCAGTTTAGGCACTGTATTCTACACTAGCTGGAGCTTCTGGATGATGCTTAACCTGTCCGCACAGACCACATTGAAGCAATCTTGTTTTTCCATCACTAGTCTATCATGGTCCAGATAGCTGGTGTACAGGTAAGTGTTGCTCATGGCCCCACCAGTCAGTTTGTCACTTAATGACAAAGTTGTGTCTAGGTTAGTAAGGCAGGAATAACTTTGCAGAAACTATGTTGAATATTCTTCAAACTTGTCCTTCTATACAGTATGCTTGTTAATTTCATCTTTAATCATGCTTGCCAACTAGTTTCCCCAGAAACAAAGTTCTGCCAACTGACCCATAATTTCCTGAATCCTCCTAGATACCTTTTAAAAATTAGTTTGACTTTGACTACCTTCTAGTTCTCCAGTACAAAAGTTGATATTGGGGACAAGTCAGGTCAGTGTTCACAATGAGAATTTTGGGTTTAAAGGCAGGCGATGGGCAACTCCTCATTCAGTTTCTTGATGAGAGAAATGTGTGTCATCAGTAGGAGAATAGGCCTCCAGATTCCTGCTACTGAGAATGGCTGCCTTGAACTATTGGGCTTGGCTGGGGGCATCTAACTATTCAAGCTGAAGAAGTTGCCCACCACTGAGGTATATGAATGGATGGGTACAGTGTGTTAATAGTGATTGCTATTCTTGTTATCTCTGGAAACTAGTACAGTTGTACCTCGTTTTGAGTCCAGGATCCGTTCCAGAACCCTGGACGCTGGATCAAAGGGGCGCTCGACAGAGTGTTGCTCTGCGCACACGCGTGCAGCAGTTTAGCACTTCTGCTCAAGCGGCAAACCCGGAAGTAACCTGTTCCGGTACTTCCGGGTTTGCTGTGGACGTTCCATGGAATGGATGACCAACAGGGTGGACTTAAAACGAGGTACCACTGTAATATAATAGTTTTGTCCTGCTTCTGGGTAGAAATCAGTAAAATAGTAAAGGTACAAATAAAGCTGTTTAAAGATGCATGACAAGAGATATAGAGACTTCATATTTCACAGCCTTAATTAAGTTTTGAAATAGTTTTAGGACTATTAACATTAAACAATGTTTAATGTAATGACAGATGCATGACTTAATATATTATTAATAAATAAGGTTGTATCACCCTGTCTTTGACCAATAATAGATAATAGAAGAAGCAAAATAAGTCATTGTCACAACAGTAAATGATGATGTCAATAAGCCTATAGTAATGCGCCCCCCCCCCCATGGAAGGCTTTCCAATAATTCCTTGGTTCTTAAGGGCTGGCCCAGTTTATGAAAACACATGCATTTTACAATCGGACTATAACAACTGCTTTATTAATTGTGGTTTGTAGTTGCTTTTTACAGTCATATGAACTGGTTTTTCTCTGACTATGGAACTAAAGCAGTTGCAGAACAGAAAAATGCTTAAAATAATGTGTTTATTTTTACTTCCCCTTGTGTGCCATGAATGTATACTTAAAAGCTTTGGGAATAATAATAATTATTACTGTTAAATTTGAATTCCACACTTCATCCAAAGATCCCAGGGCAGTTCACAACAGAAAAATACAAATGAGAATACAAAATACACAGTAAAGCAAAAATAAACCAATAACTCCCCTCCTACAAACACATTTAAAAAGCCATATAATGTTAATCGATTAGAATGTAATTAGTTCTGCTCCCTCTCTCTCTTTAGTTTATAATATAGAGTGTCAGCAATATTTGATTATTCATCCCTGAAGGTTATCTGTACAATAGCAATGTTGTTGGGTGGTAAATTATTATTTACAGTATTGCTACATCATGTTTTCAGAAAGCCTCTTGAATAACTTCTGAATGGTATTTCTGAGCCTCATACAAAAGCCATATAAATTCTAGGATCAAACTAAATAGTGCAAAGTTGTACTAAATATGTATAACTGCTTACTATTTTTGAGAAGTATGGAATAGTTGTTCAAGTTTATTTAGGCTGTTATCCTAACGACCCTTGACAGTTTTATATTGAATTCTATGTGAGTTCCTTCTGAATGAGCGTTAATAGGCTCTGAATGTGTAATCAAAACATGCATTTGACCAACTGTGTTACTCTGGGTGGTTGTTTTTTTTATTAAAAAAACCCCCTCATTTTCTTCCCCTATCTCTCCACAGCAATTTACAATGCAGTTGTAACTATGCCTACTCAGAAGTAAGTCCTATTGAATTCAAAGGAACTCCCAGGTAAATAAGGTTAGGATTTCAGCCTAAATATTTGAGAATCCCAAGGAGTTTCCATTGCAAATTTATCCCATTAAATATGTGTTTAGTTTACAGACTTGCTCTCAGGTAGATCATTTCTCTTTGTGTGTGTGTTTCTTCTTTATCTGCAATATATATCAGTCATAAGCAGTGATTCATAAACGGCTGATTTTTTTGTTTTGTTTTGTTTTTACAATCCCACCTCCCACAGAGGCACCAAATGTCTATTTAATTACATTTAACTTTTAAGTCATTTCAGGGTGGGTGTTTTTTAAAAAAATGTCTCAAATTGTCATGTGTTCTCAAAGGCTGGATCATTTCTATTTCTTGCTCTGCCTGAAGCAAGCAAAGGAGGAACTTTAGAAGGTGGGTTTGGAGCAGTATGGATCATAACACATGTGTACTTGTCCACCTACCCACATAACCTTTCTCCTGCTTCTACACAGCACAGTAGATGCATTTTGTTTCCTGTGGAAATGGAGGGGGATCTGTAGTCCTTGTGAGATATATGTGTGTGTGTGTGTGTGTGTGAGAGAGAGAGAGAGAGAGAGCATGAGAGTGTGCAGTGTTTGAAACTCCCATTGTTCTAGGCGCATTTTGCGACAGGGAACTTCATTATCACAAGTAGTTTCTGAGCTCCGACCGCAGTACTGCACCTAAAATTTCAGATTAAAACTGCAGAGTGGAAGGAAAGGAGTACCTTTTTCTGCCTCCCCACTTCCAGCTACTCTCTAAAGACTAGAGAGGAGACCCTCTTAAGAATATTAGGGGGGTGGGCAGAGGAATGACTAGACCATATGAAAAATGAACATAATGTTTTAGCAGCAGGTTATTCATTTTCAGCTTTGTATTCTTGTTAAAAAAAAGCACACCTAGACATTCCCGTTGTTGTGCCCATAACCTAGTTTTAAGTGCCATTTAGCTCCTAGCTTTCATATCTGTTTCTAACAGTATGTGAGAGTGTGTGTGAGAGAGTGGTAGAGAGGCATTCCAGTGAAATACATTGTTAATTGTGGGGTTTATTTTAATTTTTTGACTGAAACACATTAGATTAGGAATATTTTCCCCACATGCTGTCATTTGTGGGCTTTGCAATATGTGCTATTTGATATCAACAGTATCTAAATCCTGTTTGGTGAACGTTAACAGCACATCATTCCTACTCAGTTAATTTTGGTGTTGGTGGTCATGGTGATGGACTGGTGATGGACTGGTGAGCATCTGACTGTGTGTGCAAATGCATCTTTTAATCTGTGTTAATAAATGAGTCCAGAAATAATATTGGTTCTTTTTTTTAAAAAAAACCCTCTAATTTACAACACCTAACCAGCAACTAGAAAATGAAAGTTTTTATTAACAGAACTTCTTAAATATAGGGAGAAAATGTTTGAACTGCATTTTGCCCTCTAAACATCTGCAGTTAGATAAGAGAACACATTCACAGATTCAGGAAGTATATGACACAATGCTATCATATGTTAACAGATTAAAAGAATATTGGATATACTTGGCCCAAATTGCTTATCTGGTAGAAAGAATTGCAGTACTAAGAATATCAATATAGTCAAGTTGTATGGGATCAATTCCAATCTGTTACCCCCGAGGATGTGGACAGGCTGCTTGGACGAGTGAAACCAACCACTTGTCTCCTTGATCCTTGCCCATCCTGGCGTATAAAAGCTAGCCGGGAAGGACTGGGCGATGGGCTTCGTGGGGTGGTGAATGCTTCCCTCCGTGAGGGAGCCTTCCCAGACCCGCTGAAAGAGGCGGTTATTAAACCTCTTCTTAAAAAACCATCTTTAGATGCGATCACGATGGCCAACTATCGCCCAGTCTCAAATCTTCCTTTCTTGGGCAAGGTGATTGAGCGAGTGGTTGCTGAACAACTCCAGGCACGCCTGGAAGAAGCGGACCATTTGGATCCCTTCCAGTCGGGATTCAGGCCTCATCATGGGACTGAAACTGCCTTGGTCGCACTGGTTGATGATCTCTGGCGGGCTAGGGACAAAGGTGAGAGCTGTTTCCTAGTTCTGCTGGATCTCTCAGCGGCGTTTGATACCATCGACCATAACATCCTTCTGGACCGTCTTGAGGGGCTGGGAGCTGGGGACACTGTTATACAGTGGTTCCACTCCTTTCTCCTGGGCCGTGTTCAGAAAGTGGGGGGGGGGGATGAGTGTTCAGACCCCTGGGCTCTCACTTGTGGGGTGCCTCAGGGTTCTGTCCTCTCCCCCATGCTTTTCAACATCTATATGCAGCCGCTGGGAGAGATCATCAGGGGGGTTTGGGCTGGGTGTTCATCAGTATGCGGATGATACCCAGCTCTACCTCTCTTTCAAATCAGAGCCAGTGAAGGTGGTGAAGGTCCTATGTGAGTGCCTGGAGGCGGTTGGAGGTTGGATGGCGGCTAACAGATTGAGGTTGAATCCTGACAAGACAGAATTACTGTTCTTGGGGGACAGGAGGCGGGCAGGTATGGAGGATTCCCTGGTCCTGAATGGGGTAACTGTGCCCCTGAAGGACCTGGTGCGCAGCCTGGGAGTTATTTTGGACTCGCAGCTGTCCATGGAGGCACAGGTCAAATCTGTGTCCAGGGCAGCTGTTTACCAGCTCCATCTGGTACGCAGGCTGAGACCCTATCTGCCTGCGGACTGTCTTGCCAGAGTGGTGCATGCTCTGGTTATCTCCCGCTTGGACTACTGCAATGCGCTCTATGTGGGGCTACCTTTGAAGGTGACCCGGAAACTACAACTAATCCAGAACGCGGCAGCTAGACTGGTGACTGGGAGCGGCCGCCGAGACCACATAACACCGGTCTTAAAAGACCTACATTGGCTCCCAGTACGTTTCCGAGCACAATTCAAAGTATTGGTTCTGACCTTTAAAGCCCTAAACGGCCTCAGCCCAGTATACCTGAAGGAGCGTCTCCACCCCCATCGTTCTGCCTGTACACTGAGGTCCAGCGCCAAGGGCCTTCTGGCGGTTCCCTCATTGCGAGAAGCAAAGCTACAGGGAACCAGGCAGAGGGCTTCTGGATAGTGGCGCCCGCCCTGTGGAACACCCTCCCATCAGATGTCAAAGCGATCAACAACTACCTGACATTCAGAAGACATCTTAAGGCAGCCCTGTTCAGGGAAGTTTTTAATGTGTGATTTTAGTGTATTTTTGGTTTCTGTGGAAGCCGCCCAGAGTGGCTCGGGAAACCCAGCCAGATGGGCGGGGTACAAATAATAAATTATTATTATTATTATTATCACTACAGGATATAAACTTTGGGCTAACTATTCAACAAAAGAGGATGACTTGTATAAAACCATATTGACTTCTTAATGTGAAGATTTAAAAAGTCATTTACCAATGATAACTTCCATGAATGAGTGGTGATTTGAATCTCATGCACAGTGCTAATCACAAGTACTATTGTATGAAAGTGTACCAGTCTAGTGGGCACTATAATAAATGTACAGAATATGTCATTCTGTGGGTTTCCCCATAGTGCAGGAGAAGCAGATAGCACTGCAAGATTGGACTTTATATCATTGGCAGGGCTGTTTGTCTTCATCCATAAATTCATGTACATTTCTCAAAGTTAGTGGGTAAACTTGTATGTGCTGCAAATGGTTTAGTCTGAGGTGGGGGACCCCCTTTTGGCCCAACAGGCCATTCCCCCCCCCAACCATGCCCACCTTCTCCATGTGTCGTCAGGTGTGGGGCAGGTAGAGACACAACTGGATTAGTTGTATGACTGGGGTTACATGTAGGGAACTCTAGTACACAACTAATGGCTGGAGAAAGCAGGCTTGAACTTGCTGTCCAACCCACTTATCAATCAACTGATGCCATTACGACACCCTCTTGTCAAAGTTGACCTGCAGTGGTGGGGGGAGGTAAAGATCTATCCCATCAGGCCAAAAAAGGATCCTCACCCCACTTCAGTTCATCATTAAGTGGTTTTATTCTGTGTTGGATTGTGTTTAATTTAATTTAGCTGCCATTTAAAATACAATATTTTCTCATGAGAGCTTACAAGATTTCAGACAATTTAAAATCATATAAATTGGGGAAATTTTGCTTTCTAGATGCTGAATTACAACTCTCATCAGCCCCACCAAGCATGACCAATGATGGGGGTTGTATTTCGGCAATATCTGGAGTGCCCAAAGTTCCCTACATCTGATTTAAAATAATCATAGCATCGATAAAAGCATTTCAACCCCTTCTATATCAGTTGGATTGAGGGCAAGAATACTGGGTAACAATTTGTCACAATTAGTGGGTAGCTAGTTGCTCTCAAGAGCAGAAGCTCTTTGGTTTGATCCAGGGTTTCAGCACCCAAAAAAAGAGAGCAGAAGCTCTTACCCCTGCGTTTTCTAAACCAGGGGACAGCAAGGTTTATCTTGCCTGGGCCAGATCGGTCCCGCGGAGATCCCTCCGTGGGCCGGATCGCACATGCAAGCGCCCACGATTTTCAGCATTGTGCAGACACGATTTCCAGCGCCGTGGGAGCAAGTTGCTGCGCTGCGCCGGTTTAGCACAGCGCGCAAGCGGGCCACTCTTTTGGGGGTGGCTCATGGGCTGGTCAAACAACCTCCGCGGGCCGCTAGCAGCCCATGGGCTTTAGGTTGCTGACCTCTGTTCTAAGCTATGGCGGTATCTGTTTTATGTGTTATTTGTTATAATTTTTATTCCTCACTTATTTAAAGGACCTCAGAATAGAAATCATTCCTTCACTCATATCCTCACAATACTGGAGCTATTAATGTGAGGTAGATTAGGCCATGGGGGTTCTGAACTTGGGTCTCTCCCATCCCTGTCCGTTGCTATTGTCTACTACACCACATTGGTTCTCATCTCTCACTGCTTCAGGAATGCAGCAGACTGTTGCGGTGGGTTGGCACTGGGCTGATGAGCTTATTAACCTGTTCCTCTCATGCAGTTTTCCTACTGAAATATCCCCCTAAGGTGCTTTTAACCCAGAAGGGGAAATACATGTTTCAAGCAAGTTTAACTACCAGTTTTTACTAAAGAATGGCAACAATAGGTAAAAGAAAACATAGTTCATATGGGGATACTTCTTTAAAACAACAACAAAGGAAGTTGTGTTTGTAATAATTGTATTTGATTCTTAGTGTTTTTACAAAAAGCAACTTTGGTCTAAGTATGGATATTATCATAATTCTTTCTCCGACCTCACCCTGCCCATTCAACATCTATTGATAAGGAAAACAAAAAGGTGAAAACACATTGAAGAGTCAGCTCTCCTTTGGGACAGCTTGGCAATCTTTACTATTCAAGAGATTATTGTGGGGACATCTTTAACAAAATTAGAAACTTAATGTAATCAGACTTTTAATGTAATTCAATCTGTATGTTTCTAACTTGTATCAAATAGTAGTTGTTTCTAGACTCTGGTGTTGTTTTTCATTTGGCTGTGCACACTGTGTATCAGGTTATAACTGTTAGTGTTGATAGCTTTCTTTCCATAGACACTTACTTTAGTATTGTTAGCATTCAACATGATCACATTATTGATGGTACTTTCCAAAAGCTGGTAAATTAAAATACCTACTTTTATGTTATGTTAAAACTGGTTTTTAGTACAACTGTAGGCTGAACAAAAACAAGCCATGTACTAGCAACAAATGCCTAAACACTAGCAGTTCAAAAGCATGTCAAGTGCAAGTAGATAAATAGGTACTGCTCCGGCGGGAAGGTAAATGCTGTTTCCGTGCACTGCTCTGGTTTGCCAGAAGCGGCTTAGTCATGCTGGCCACATGACCCGGAAGCTGTCTGCGGCCAAACGCCGACTCCCTCAGCCTATAGAGCAAGATGAATGTGCAACACCAGAGTCGTCCGTGACTGGACCTAATGATCAGGGGTATCTTTACCTAGTGCTTCCTAAATAGTACAGAAATGCACTTTTTATAAATAGGGTTTCACAAATCATTATTTTATTGTGTCTTATGAAATTTTGCTCTTCAGGTCAGTTTTCCTTAAAATTCCAGAATTAAATATGTGCTTGCAAAACATAATTGGTATACAAATGATAAACAAGTAGGCAGATATATTTTGCAGTGCATGCTGCAGTATGCGGTAAATGTTTAGTAGCTGGTACATGGTCATGGCTGTATACTGAGCACTTAAGAAGTCAAAATAACTCAGAGTCTATGCACATGAAAGGTTTTTCTACCTGATTTCTCCCCTCCAGTATACCTTTACTGAGAGGTAGGGTGTTACCCAACACTGAGAGAAGCTATAGGGAGGCACACAGGATTATGATGTAGAAGAGGAAGTATCAGGATATTCCCTTGCACAAGCATCCTTTGTGCTGGTATTGGATACTGCCTATTAAGTTAAAATCAGTTGCACAAATCTGTGACACAGTACACACGGCATGATACATAAGATGCAATAGATGATATGTTGTATTAATTAGTGTGCAAATTAGAACTATTTAGATTCCAAATAATGCAGATGAACATTTACTCAAAGTAATGCATTTCTGCCCAGTAATAATAACTACTAGCCCTTGTAAAGAATTTTGACCACTTTTAGTATTCAAGTATGTGTTCTCGTTTATTGGTCTTAGCATTGTGCAAATCAAACACATTATTTTATAATTGTCTTGATAAGCAGATATAAACTATGTACTTTGAATTGCATGTGGGCTTCATGCTCAGGAGTTTTAGGTTATAGTCCTGGACTGTCGACTGTCTTGGGTAGCATAAAGTGTGTCTTTGGTTGCAAACATATGTTTTAGTTGTTGTGGCATCTAATTAGTATGCATGGTTGTTCAGGAATACAGGAATTAGAAACTTAGAAAGTTGATCTTCTTAAAGGTTTAAATAAATCATGTCTGATTTCTGTGACTGTATGCAGGCAGATATGTATATTTTAGCTTTATTTGCAGCAGCAGCACCCCAAATAACTCTAGTCCATAGAAGTTTCATCATTGAAATCTCTCCACACTTGGGTGGCATACAGGTGCCTGTATCTTCTGATTGGACAAATTCGGGCTGCTGGTATGCCACCCAGCTTGCTGCCCAGTCGCATACCTGAATAATCTGGCAGAAGTGCTCTGAAGTGTGATGCAGAAGAACCCCAGGACGCTGGTACTGGAAGTCAACAGTATCCATGCTAAAGTTACCTTGACTGAGCCAACTGAGGTCTTCATGGCCTCTGTGGCAAACATGGGGTTGTCCCAAGTTGTCATTGACACAGCACATACGAAAGTCTTTGGTGTGTGGGTGTGAGAGAGACAGAGAATTGTGGTTAGACGATTATCTGGGGTAGTTTGTTCATGCATAGATGTAGGACCCGTTAGGATGATTCATCCTTAGGGATTTGCAGAATCCAAAGAATTCCCGAATGCTTTGCGGGATTTTCCAGAAGCCAGAACTGGAAATTCTGTTGACTCTTTGGGCTGTCTATGAAATGACAAGATGTGCCGGGAAGTTGATATGATTGCCACTGAATGCCCACTCTGACACTTTGGAACCATCCCTTTTCTCCCCCAGGATGTTCCAAGATATGAAACAGGATTTGTGAGGCTAGAATGCAAGTGGCATAAGATTCAGTGTGAGGTTGACTGAACATGTGCCTATTGTCGTGCCTGTTGCAGGAGGTGAAGGTGGCAAAGAAGACTTACTTTGGTGCCTCCCTTGCATTCTCAAGCGCCTGGCCATCAGTGCTTTTCTGTGTGGTGAAGGGACCTTTGACACATGTCCCAGGAATAGTGTTGGAACCAACAGAGGCCTGCTGTGACATGTTTGCCATGTTACCATAATTACAGAGCTAGATGAGGTGTCCCAACACATCTTGCCCAATTTTATGGGATCTATTTTTCATTGACATGATCTGATAATGTAGATAAAGCACTTTCAGTGGTGTGGCCCACAGCTTGTTATTCACAGTGGTTATTCCATGAACTGCCCTGAGACCCCTGGGTATATAAATTCAATATATAATAATAGTTCCCTCCACCCCTGCTGTGCCCCTGTATTGTGGTAGCCCCTTTCTCTGCAATATGTGGCTGAGCAACCATCGGCTGCTTCAGACATCTTGTAAAGATTGTGGTGCCCAGGTGGTCCCTGACTCATAAGATTGGACCCTGTTTTATGTGTTTGAATCCCCTGAATTTGTTTTACTTGCTTTTATATCCCTGCATATACTTTTATAATTCTGCTTTATTGGTTTTAGATTGAATTTTGTTTTAATGATATTGTTTGTTTAATTGTGTTGCTTGTTTTTTATATTGTATACGACTTAGGAATTTTAAAAATATTAAACAGTTTATAAATGCTTTAAAATAATTCACTTTATTATTTTACAGTAATTCTGTGATGATGATACTTGCAGAAAAATACAGCCAAGGAAAGATAGGCCAGAAGGCTTTTTCCTAGAATTACCATTTTTCTAGGTAAGTGATTCCCTTTTTATTTCAGTAAGTAGATTGTTTTAGTACAAAATAGGGCTTTGGTTAATGAATATTAATTAGAGAATAGTTAAAAGGATACAAAATTGTTAGGATTTGATTGTACAGTATTTGAGGTTGCAACCTCTTAAGCCCTGTTCCAGTACTGGTAATGCCAACTTCTCCAGCCTAGGGTTTTAGTTACTAACAAACGTATTTAGGAGCCGTCCCTACACTTAGCATTCCTATCTGGAGAAATTGTGTGAGTGGATTCAAAATGCATGCTGAGGGGTTGATAGGTGCCCTTCCCAATGCAAATGGAGGAATCTTATAGGGGAAAATATATGGGGCATTCTTCCATGTTGTGCTGAGAGCCTAACAAAGGCGGCATTTTTTCATCTCCGCCAAGCTAAGCAGTTGGCTCTTTACCTCTCTCGCCCTGACGTAGCCACTGTGATCCACGCGACAGTCACCTCCAGACTGGATTATTGTAACTCGCTCTACGTGGGGCTGCCCTTGAGACTGACCCAGAAACTCCAGCGGGTGCAGAATGTTGCAGCGAGACTCCTTACGGGGTCCTCGCTGCGAGATCACATTCACCCGGTGCTATACCAGCTGCACTGGCTCCCGGTGGAGTACAGGATCAGGTTTAAGGTGCTGGTTTTAACCTTTAAAGCCCTATACGGCCTAGGACCCTCGTACCTACGGGACCGCCTCTCCTGGTATGTCCCGCACAGGAACTTACGATCTTCAAACAAAAACATCTTGGAGGTCCCAGGCCACAGAGAGGTTAGGCTGGCCTCAACCAGAGCCAGGGCTTTTTCGGCTGTGGCTCCGATCTGGTGGAACACTCTGCCACAAGAGATTAGGGCCCTGCGGGACTTGACATCTTTCCGCAGGGCCTGCAAGACAGAGCTGTTCCGCCAAGCCTTTGGCCAGGGCACAGCCTGACTCCCTCCTTTGGCAATCTTTACAGAACTCTGCCCAATGGTTGCCATCAATTTGATTTGAAGTAATTTTTTAATGAAATGATTTTAAAATGTTGTCTTATTTTATTGTTGTTAGCCGCCCTGAGCCCGGCTTCGGCTGGGGAGGGCGGGATATAAATAAAAAATTATTTATTTATATTTGTAACTTTGAGAGATTGATTCATATTGTATGGCTAGGCAATCTTTGTACCCCCTATAATACTGATTTTATAATTAAAAATATAGGCAGATGCATTCCCTTCTTTAGAATAATAAATTAGACATCAGTGTTCTGTATTTTACCTCAAGTGCCTGTATTATGAAAGGTAGTTGAGATGGGTAGGAGCCTTTTGGGAATCTCAGAACCAACCTCTGACCTTTAAATTACACATTTCATATCAAACTTTATATTTGGCATTCAATAGACATGCAGATGAAGGAAGATCTGTATCAGACAGATCCTTTAAGCTTCCAATAGATTCTAATACATGCATGTCCATCCCCACCTCATCATCTTTGATCCCCTCAGTTCTGCAGTCCTGAGGCAACTGGCAATTGGAACAGTGGATTCCTTCTGCCAGGGATGGAGTAGCATGCACTTCGGCTGCTGTATGGGATCAAACCGGTCATCTCTTTGCCACAATCTTTCTGTAAAGCAGGGGCTGCTGCCTGCCAGTGCCAATGTCAAAAGCCAGAGTGCACTTTCTTTTACTTTAGTGATCCCAGGACAACTGCAATTGAGCAGTAAGGCTGAGAAAAAAAATGTCATAGAAATGTGTTACAAGCCAGCAGGATGTAGTAGTTGACATTAATGTAAGATCAAAGCGACCCTGGTTCAAATCCCCACTCACCCTAATCTACTTCATAGGATAGGTAAAGAACCATATATACTACCCTAAGCTCTTTGGAGGAATGGCAGATACAGTTATAATTATAAGGAGAAACAGGTAAGGGAGGATGCAAAGTGGCCAAGAGAAAGCGTTCTTATAAAAATGAACTTTTCTATCCTTTAATCAATCACGTTCCAGCCTTGTCACATAGAAATATAATGCCTGAACAGTACTTATGAATGCAAAACAAACTCAGTGTGGTGTATAAATAAAATATAAGCCTGTAACATTTTGAAACTTTATACAAATAATTGCATCTCCTAGCCAAGCGGCCAATAACATGTTCATATATAGTAATATTGACGGGTTTATGTATGTATATACCGGTAAGTGCAAATTGCATAAGACAGATGTCAATGTCTAATTGAGGCATGTTTTGACTATGGAGTCTTCTTCAGTGGCAGATATTGAAGGGCATAAGGAAACAAATTATCACTGTCAGAAGAAAACTTATTTGGGGGTTCTGTATTGCTGCATTTTGGAAGACTGTAAGGTATGTATTTTTCAATCAATAAAGGAATTTTGTTGCAGCATGCTATAAATATGATCATGCACTCTTGTCTCCTGCCCAAAATAATGTACTTAATTGTTTGTCTATTTATTGATATATATATGCATACTAGTTTGTTATTATTATAATTATATATAATAACATTATTTGTCTGAATTTATTTGTTATAAAGTTTCATTTTAAGTTTCTTTATATACCGTATTTTTTGCTCTATAAGACTCACTTTTTCCGTCCCAAAAAGTAAGGGGAAATGTGTGTGCGTCTTATGGAGCGAATACAGGCTGCACAGCTATCCCAGAAGCCAGAACAGCAAGAGGAATTGCTGCTTTCACTGTGCAGCGATCCCTCTTGCTGTTCTGGCTTCTGAGATTCAGAATATTATTTTTTCTTGTTTTCCTCCTCCAAAAACTAGGTGCGTCTTATGGTCTGGTGCGTCTTATAGAGCGAAAAATACGGTAAGTTACAGGTTTTCATTTTGTTTATAAGCCACCTTGATTTTGTTCTGTATTCATCCTGATGTTATATTTGCCTGCCTCCTTCTTTCTTCTTCTTTCCCACAGGGCAGGTCATGTCCAATGTCCTTTGTAGTAGGGGCAGTCCTGGAGCTGGCCCTTATGTTGTCATTGCCCCTCTCGTACTATTCTGCCCACGCACACTTCAATGCATCCCCCATAATCCATACTTCAATGCATTGGCTGAGCAGCCGACAGTTGTTTAAAAGCTAATGTACTGTGTGAACCGAAAAGAATATAGCTCAACTTCTTTTTGAAAATAAATCGCTTTCCTTTCAGGACGAACAAGATTAATTTATCTCATTGCAAGTTTTACATGTCATATTTGCCCCTTCACTACCATGCATAAGTAGCTGCTGCTGCTCCATGGAAAAGTGAAAGATAAATAGTATACAATATGCAGAGTTTTCAGGGGGGAAACTGTAGACGAAAACTGGATAATTAAGCTCCTTGATGCTAACTGGGTTTTAAAGAGTGAATCAAACAAGTGTCTTGTTTTGGTTTCTCTGTACCTTGTTAGCTGGTGCAATTCTCCCTGCACCGACCTTGAAACAAAACTAGAGATTGGTTACATTCTTTGGCTTTGTCCTTTTTCTAAGAACAATACAAGATACTTTTCTCAGGGCAGTTGAAGACTCAACCCAACCTTTTACTGCATGAAGTCTCTGCCCTCCCCCAGACATTTAGCTTTGATAATAGAATAAAAATCACCTTACAATCCAGGGCTTATCCTATGTGCTCCTTTCTTTTAATAACGCTATGTCTACCTGAGAATCAAATGTACATTTGTTTTGACCTTGCTCCATTTGGTATGGATTACTTTGACCTATTAGGGCTCATGGTTACAAACAATAAGAACTTTAGTTGTACACCAAACACTTGGGTTGATTCATACTTGCATTGTTCAAAATATTAGGCACAAATTAATATTATTAGCTTCCATAGCCTGTGTTCAATTAGATTTTTTTTTAATAACCTGTGAAAATAAAAGCATGTCCTCTTAAAAATCTTTTAGGAGCCTCTTGCAAAGCAGTATTGAACCTGACAGGATTGGATTCCCTTCTACATGGAAACGTCAAACAAGGGCCTGCCAATGTGTTGCCGGAGTTAATTGAATTGTTATAGAAAATCATCATGGGAGGAGCTGTGAGTGCAGGAGAAGACAATGATGATTTAATTGATAACTTGAAAGAAGCACAATATATTCGTACTGACAGAGTGGAGCAAGCCTTCAGAGCTATTGATCGTGGTGACTACTACCTGGAAGGCTATAGGGACAATGCATATAAAGATTTGGCTTGGAAGCATGGAAATATACATTTATCAGCCCCTTGCATTTATTCTGAAGTCATGGAAGCTTTGAAACTTCAGCCAGGATTGTCTTTTCTTAATCTGGGTAGTGGAACCGGCTATTTAAGCACAATGGTGGGATTAATATTAGGTAATACTTTTTTTTAAAAAAAAATGTTAATAATATATGTTTTATGGCAGATGAAATTTATTAAGAATCTCAGTTTTACAACTGTGTGCATGCATAACTGTCATTTAGCTTCATAGCACTTTATAAGGAGGTTTTCCAGATGAATTGTACTTAATGTACAATTGACTTCAATGCCTTAAAATATTATTCAGGAATTTCAAATGCAACCTCCACCTTTAGCTCTTGATTCTTCACTTCTTAACTTGTGTTTTATTTATGATTTTGCTATTTTAGAAATGAGAGTTGAGTATTTCACTTGCATTCTTACTTAGGGCCAAACAACATGAGATAAGGGAGATCTGAGATTGGATTTCCAGTGCTTCTAGTTCAAAGAAACTGAGTAGAGCAGTAGGATTTGGACATTAATGCTAGGGAGAAGGGGTCATATAACCCATTATTTCTGTGCTGTTAGTACCTCTTGTGTTATACATTATGGCAAATCATATCTCAGGGATATAGATCATAAAAGGAATGTTATATTCCGAGCATCTCTGTTCTGATCCAAATTTGAGAGATTCTGCAGATGGTTTAGCCAAAAGTGGAAATAGAGTCCAGCCATGAATCTCTCGCATTCCATGCAGTTTTGTTCTGAATAGTGTGTTTTTTAAAAAGTTATTAAAACTATTAATGAAACTAACAAATAATTAAGTCAATCTTTAATGACATGGGGAAATCCCTGAAAATTGTTATTCATTCTAGAGAAAGCAGGAGTAAGACTGTCAGCTCACGGCTCCCTCTTGTGGGGAATAAAATACCTCTTTGCTTAGTGCAGCATTGACCAAATTTATGGGGATGAAATTTATACTTTTTTCTTGATAGATTGTTTGAATTGTTCATGGCATGAGATTCTGTAACTTTATCCAAGTAATTAAATGTTTTGATACCTTTCCCAAGCATCTCCTGAACTTTGTACATAGACACATGGGTGCATATTCTTATGAGCAGTTCTAGATGGCAACTCCTCCAGCAACATGGAAAGTTGAACAGGAAGGTATCAAACTACTGGCATGTGTGAAAGTTGGAGCTATGGTGTGTGGTTTAGCTACTGTTCTGCCTCTGCTGTTCTGCTAGTTTATTTGCATTAGCAGTGATCAGTGCAGGTATCAACTCAATTACCATGTAGCTTGCATGTGTTAACTGCACTGCTGTAGAGTACCTGATATTTGCAGGTGCCTTCTATGAAAGATGACATAAGAGGAAACAGCCATACTTCAAATTTCTCTTCTAAAGCAAGTGTCATAATTAAACAGCTCTTCTGGTAGAAATATTTTGAGCAAGTTATGTGTTGACAACCTTTCTAAACTGTTCGCTAAACATGGTCTTCCAGATCCTTGACCAACACTTGAATCAAACACTTGGATAAAGTTACAGGAACTGACACAATCTCAGTACTTTGAAAGATACTGTTGTGTGACTGTAGACATTATTTCCGGTTATGTCTGTCTGCAGCTTGGTTTTTACTTGCATTTCTTCACACTGTCACAGGCATGTGAATAGTAGCAACTGGGAAGGAAAATATAGTGTGGGAGCCATCCCATAATTAAGCTATCTCCAAAGGGAGAATAAAGCTGGTCCTCTCTAGTTAAACATTTCAAGGTAGTCTGTATAAATGATCACATCATTTTTTTCATCCTAGATGAAATAATTAAAATCTGTCCATTATGAACACATATTGCAGCTTTGGGGTTGAAAGCTTTTTTTTAAATACACTCCCCCCCACACACTTCATTTTATGGCCTAGCAGGAACCATTAGCTCTAAGTTGGATGCACCATTTTTACCAACCTGGTCACACGTTCTGAAGCTCAGAGGGGCATGACCAGGAATCAGTGTAGTTTCATCAGGATCCAAGCATGAGAGCAGAAATGCATAAGGAACAAGCCAATGAGCCCAGCAGGTGCCAGCCATGTGACTGGAGAGGGGAATACTAGAGCTACAGCTGTGCTGAAATTTCCTTGTTAAACTCTTTCAGCTTAAAACTAGGGTTTTGGATAGGACAAAGAGTTTCATTAAACAGTCCCTTCCTTTTCCCTCTCTCTCCCTCTCTCTCTCTCTCTCTCTCTCCCTCCCTCCCCCCCCCTCCCCTCTCCCTCTCTCTTTCTCCTCACATTTCTTCACTTCCCAAATACTGTACTGGCTTAAAGTTGCTTAGTGTTCATATCAAATGTCCACCTTCATATACAAGGCACTCTTTGATTTAGCGAGGCTTAAATTGCTGCCGATTCTTAATTTACAGGCCCTTTTGGAATAAATCATGGAATAGAACTTCATCCAGATGTGGTGGAATATGCCAAGGAAAAACTGGAGAGCTTCATAAAATATAGTGATAGTTTTGATAAGTAAGTATGTTGTCGGCTTGGCTCATTTTGTGGCCTTAAACAGTTATTGTATGGTGGAAGTAAAACATACATATTTTTCTGGGATTTTGAAAGGAAACCTATTCTATTAATTATTGCAGCCACATAGTATTTCACACCAGTTTGCAATACAATTTTAAATTGTGAAGTTTTCAAAATACGGAGATGGCTACCTGGATTTTCCATTATGACTGGGGGCTTTATCACAGGGATGGGAAACTGAGGGCCAAATGCATCTTTGCAGGCCCCTCTATCTAGCCCCCAGGCTGCACTCTCAAGAACTGCTTTTGCCTGGTTGGACTGTTTTCTTGACTTGTAATAATGCCTCTTGCTTTCCTGGATAGAGAGGCAGAGGGGTTTGTGTAGGTAGAATCCTCTGAACCTTGTGTGGTTGGAATGTAGCCTGATATACAAAGGTAAGATTCATAGTTTTGTTCCGCCTACTTTTTGCCTCTAGCTCCCAGAAAGGTTACCCACAAGAGAATGCAACCGTTGGGCTGAAAAAGCTTAATCATGCCTGCTTCACTGCAATTGCATTATCAGTAATTGTGAACTCTCTTTCAATGTGTTCTTTTACTGACATAGATAAGTCTTTGCTATATCTACTGCTGATTAAGGGGATCCATCAATCCTTTGCCATATCTTTCCCCACTCCAGTCCTGTGCTCAGATTTCTGAGTATGCTTTTTCACATATCAGGAATAAACTAGATTGTTATACTGGAATACTACTGTGTCTTTAAATATAACTGAGCTTCAGATTGGCTATATAACATATTTGACAATTTGAAAATATTTTAAATTGTAGTACCTATGTGTCAGGGACGCAGGTGGCGTTGTGGTGTAAACCACTGAGCCTTGGGCTTGCCAATCGGAAGTTTGGCAGTTCGAATCCCTGTGACGGGGTGAGCTCCCGTTGTTCAGTCCCAGCTCATGCCAACCTAGCAGTTCAAAAGCACGTCAAAGTGCAAGTAGATAAATAGGTACCGCTCCAGCGGAAAGGTAAATGGCATTTCCATGCACTGCTCTGATTTCGCCAGAAGCAGCATAGTCATGCTGGCCATATGACCCAGAAAAACTCTCTGTGGACAAATGCCGGCTCTCTCGGCCTGACAGCGAGATGAGCGCCTCAACCCCATAATCACCTTTGACTGGACTTAACCATCCAGGGGTCCTTTACCTTTTTTCCTTTTACTATGCCAAACCATAGGGCATGGGTGGTGCTGTGGTCTAAACCACTGAGCCTAGGGCTTGCTGATCGGAAGGTTGGCAGTTCATATCCCCATGACGGATTGAGTTCCCGTTGTTCAGTCCCAGCTCCTGCCAACCTTGCAGTTCGAAAGCACATCAAAGTGCAAGTAAATAAATAGGTACTGCTCTGGCGGGAAGGTAAACGGCGTCTCCGTGCGCTGCTCTGGTTTCGCCAGAAGCGGCATAGTCATGCTGGCCACATGACCCGGAAAAACTGTCTGTGGACAAATGTTGGCTCCCTCGACCAGTAAAACAAGATGAGCACCGCAACCCCAGAGTCGTACGTGACTGGACTTAACTGTCAGGGGTCCTTTACCTTTTTTTTACCTACTGTATGTGTCTGTGGTTTTTAATATTTTTTGGCTATTTGTTACTGGTTAGAATGAAAGTGCTTACACCATGTATTTCAGATTTTGTGTATTATGGAACACTAGCTGTTTCAAAATTGTATCTTGGCACATAAATCAGGTATGGTTGTAATTGTTATCTGGTTGGGCAGTGTGTTAGCATCTACCTACAGATGCATTGTTAAAATGACTATTACTGGTCTATCTTTGGTGGCCATAAATTACATTTCTCACATGGCTATTCCCTACGTACACACAGTTGCAAATCCATAACACTGTTGTACACCTGCTGCTGGTGGTATTCTGTCTAAAAGTGCCTAAAATCTGCTACTAACAAAATTGCAATGCCTGCTTTGGCTAATCCAGCTAGCATAGTACAGTCATACCTCGTGTTGCATTAGGTTCATGTTGCATCTTTTCAGCTTGCAAACACGGCAAACCCGGAAGTGTATACTTCCGGGTTTCACCGCACACACAGAAGCGCTCGATCGCTCCACACACATGCGTGGAAGAGGCGCTCTAGTTGCCGACTTTTCAGGGTAAGTTCTGATACCTCAATCTGCATGCATGTAGGTGGAAAGTGAAAGGATGAAATGGAGAAAATGGCTTTGTGCTTTTTGGTTTTTTAATTGGCTCGTATCTGTGCTTGGTGCACCTTCTAGTGACCTTGTGCCTTTCTTCTGCCTTTATATAAATAATAGTAGCTCTATCCTCTTGTGGATTTCACACATCAGTATCCTATGAATCTAGGCAGAGGTAGCTGATGTGGTGCACTCCAGGTGTTGAACTACAATTACCATCAGCTCCAGTCAACATGGTCAGTTGTCGGGGATGATGGGAGTTGTAGTTTTGAATATTTTTTTATGTATAGGTGACAAATGAAGAGTTTGAAGCCCTGCCTCTTTTTCTCTTTTTTATTCTTCTTTTATTTTCTATCTTCTCTTTTTGTTTTTATTTAGATTAGCTAGTTACCTTTTTGTATTGAAAGAAGATATTCGGTAGTTGATATTAATATTTGTATATCTTAATTTAAGCTTTAATAGAAAATCTATTAAAAACAAACAAACTCACTTCTCTGTAGTCAAAATGCTACCAAGCATGTACAAGGGGGGAAGCCACCCCAATGATAACTAGTCATGCTCAGTTGGGATTGAATGTTAACTGTTGGGAGATCAAGTTAGAAAAAAGTGAGGGTGGTAATGGGAGTGGAGTGGCTGGAAACCTGAACAGGAGCACTCCATGCTTCAATACCTTGTTTCAGATTCTCCTTGTCACAGCTGAAAAGGTAAAGGGGCCCCTGACCATTAGGTCCAGTCGTGGCCGACTCTGGGATTGCAGTGCTCATCTTGCTTTATTGGCTGAGGGAGCCAGCGTACAGCTTCCGGGTCATGTGGCCAGCATGACTAAGCCGCTTCTGGCGAACCAGAGCAGCACACGGAAACGGCGTTTACCTTCCCGCCGGAGCGGTACCTATTTATCTACTTGCGCTTTGAGGTGCTTTCGAACTGCTAGGTTGGCAGGAGCAGGGACCGAGCAACAGGAGCTCACTCCGTCACGGGGATTCAAACCACCAACCTTCTGATCGGCAAGTCCTTAGCTCTGTGGTTTAACCCACAGCGCCACCCGCATCCCCTTGTCACAGCTAAAAAGAGTTAAAAGATTAGAAGTGGCAAAACAGAACTAATAATAATAATAATAATAGGAACAACAAGTAAAACAAGATCCAGAGACAGTATCATCAAAATTCTTAGATATATTTTTTAACCCCACAGCAGATTAAAAACTAAGAGAGGTTGACACTGCCCAACTTTCTTTTTAAAAATGAATATTTTTTGCCATATATTGACAGATCATTAAAGAAGGGGGCAAGTCAGGATTTCTTTATGTCCAATTATTGGAAAAGTTGTTCTGAAGAGTGGAACTGCAGAGTTCTCACTGACTCAGTGCATATAATTAGGGAATGTTTTCAATGTGAACTATGTTATGAATTCATATAAAGGGATCTTGTCAACTAAAGGCAATGTGTATATATTTGAATTTGAATTTATATGTAAGTAAAACACATTCAGAGATTTAAGTCCAGTGAAATGAATGAAAGTTAAAATGTGCAGCTGTAACTGAAATTTGGCTATAATAAATGTAGATGTATTGTGTTCATGGTAAATCTAAGTACTGTATACCATCAAGATAATGCAATTGCAGTAAGTGCTATTCATTACAATAAACTGTCCATACCGCTGAATTCCCATTAGTTTTCAAATTTCTCTGATTTGCCAAAGGACAACTAAAAAGTGCAATTTTAAGTGCAATTTAGTGTTTTTCTATAATGGTATCTATAAAAACATGAAATGTTTGTTTTATCCACAGATTTGAATTTTGTGAACCTGCCTTCGTAGTTGGCAACTGCTTGCAAATCTCATCAGATAGTCATCAATATGACCGGATTTACTGCGGAGCTGGTGTACAAAAAGACCATGAGAACTACATGAAAATATTATTGAAAATTGGAGGCATTCTAGTTATGCCTATTGAAGATCAGGTGATTGAGTATGTTTGTCATGTGTGTTTAGTTGTAACAGATAAAAAGTAGTTCTCTTGTGTGTGGACTCGTAATGACTTTCTTAATGTCAGTTGCCTCAGTACAGTGAATACAAAGGTATTTTGTAAACCTTAAAGCAGAGAATAGCAACATCTAAACAATAGACCACATAATCTCACTCTTCTCTTTCCTTTGACTGCCAGAGATCCCAGTTGTGCACATTATAGCTAATTAGGACCATCCCTGGCCTTTAGTCAATTTTTTTCTGACAGAGCCCTCCTCTGGTTTTGTTGTGCCACAAAAACTGAGTGGCCAATTCATGGGTTCATGACAACAAAAAGCTTTTATGTACAGGAGTCCTCTATCCTACCTTCAGACAAGCTATCTGTCCATGCTCTTAAATTAACATTGTTATCAAGGCATCATCATTCTGCAGTTCAGCCTGTTTAAGAATGCACTTTGATTAGTGACTGTTACCCTTTCAGTGCTACTACTGCTATTTATAGTTTTATGTTCAGCATTGTTCAGTTAATCTCTTAAACTGAGCTTTAGCTAGCTATGGTAATGTTATCAAAATAGCATACCTTTGACTTCCCTTTGACTGGATCCCATACTGCTTTGCTAATGTTTGAATAAAGCAATTGCTCAAGACATGCAGATCATCCGATAAGTCTTGCATGATTTCATTATTCATTTGTTAGCAGGAGTACCAAGGGATCTAGCCAACAGGTAAGTGCACTCAACCGTAATTCAGAAATTGGTCCTTTAAAAATCCAGACAAATTAGAAACTATGGACTCAGAGTGAATATATGTTTTAAAGCACAGTGTAATGCTCAGTGACCAGCAAACTGGGACATTTCTTTCTCTTTCCTTTTCAGTCAAGGACAGAATGTTTTGAAAAGCATGAAACGTTTAGTGATACAATAATACTTAGTACTTATTTTTCATTCATAGATATCAAAGGGCTTTTCTACGGTGAGTATAATTATCTCCATTTTACAGATGGGGATGTGTAGGTACACTGATACATGACTTGCTCAAGCTGACAGTATCCCTAAGAAGCCTGCCTTGCTCAATAAGTTACCAAATACCTTTAGAATAAGAATGCTCATCAATTAAATATTATATAACAACTTTATAATTTCTCCTCAATACACAAAACAGCTCATTCTACTACTCTATTTTAAGGAAGCATGGATGCTTTTTGAATTGAGAGGTTTACATCATACCACTCTTGTTCAGTAATCACTGATAGCTATCCATTAAGGAAAAACAACACTGGACTGAAGCAAAGGCTTTCAAAATAAATAGTTGTATTGCTGATCTGCCCAGAGGATTGCAAGCTTAATATGTTTGCAGGGAAAATTGGACAGGTAATGATGACTTAACAGATCTTTAATATATAAAGTATTGAGGAATTTTAAAACCAATCATGAAAACTGCTGTAATTATGTCTTCTAATTCCATCCTTGGAAAACACCAAAGGAGGGCCTCTTAAGCAAATTTGTGCGCTCTCAGCAATGTGAACACTTATCCTTTTCCCCCCATCAGATATACACAACTAGTTTTAATTATGCATCTTTAATTTCTGGATATTGTGCATATTAATATATGTATTTAAATACTCATTGTCCTGGGCAATTCATGGATTTGCATGCATCAGATTTCAGTCAATGATATAATTGTACTAAAACATTCCAAAAGTAGCTGAGTTTTCTTTGTTTACATCAACCCTACAAATTAATGTAGACCTGCAACCCTTTTTAAAGTTAGCAAGAATACACAAAGTGTTTCTAAAAGTAAACTGGGAATTATGTGAAATATGTTTGAATGTAACAGAATAAATGTAGGCTCCCTGTTCCGCCAGTTAAAAATATGTTCTCTTCATTTTCTCAAGGTGAGAAGTACTAGACAGTGACTTAGTTTGGATAATCATTTCCAGGCTTATTAAGATGAAAAATGAACAAGCCGTATGCCTCCACATAGTCACTGCAGGCACAAGCAATCAGACCAGGAGGCATCTAATTAATCCAAGTTCTTTGAGTAGTCTCTGTGGAGCCACATATGGGTTCTGTACCTCTCCACAGAGCTTCTTTTGAGAAGACTCTATAGCTAGGCTCTAGTTTTAGCATGTGCCCTCCTCCCCCATGCATATATTAAGGGGCATGATTCCCTCTCCTCCACTTTCTTTCATGTCACAGGACACACCTCATATGAAATCTTTTGAAGACTTGATAACGTAAGTAGATTCCCCCACTCCCCAATACTATTATTTCACAAATGCGGGTAGAGATGCCCTCAGAATCACCCTTCCCAGAGGTTTCAATGCTTTTCCTCCTCGCTAGTCAGTTTCCGGTTTGGCCTGCACCAAAGCTGTCTAACCCCTTGCATCTCTTGTCATCCTGCTCAGCCTTGCTATCTTATTGTTGTGTGTAGTGTTTCTCTGTGTTTATGAGTCTCTTCCTTATTTTTTCATCTGTTTAAAGTAAAAAAAAAAGTTCCTTTTATTCTGAGGTTCATTTTATGCTTTTCTATATGCTACAGTCATTTGTTTTCCATTTTTCTAGTTTTCTTTTTTCCTTTTGTATTGACTATTCTTTTGGTGTGACCACTTTGTCACTGGGCTTCAGCCCTTCTAAGGTCCACCCCCCCCCAAAAGTGTAAAACCTGTGGTCAATGACACCAAGACATTGCTGCTTCAGCTATTCTGATGACAGCCTTCAGGCATGCCAGTGCCATTAAAAAGAGAAGGGAGCTCCTCTTTAAATACCTCATTGCAGATTCCCACATACAGAACTGCCTATATCAGCGGCAATCGCAGCAGAAGGGTAGCCAACGTGGTGCCCTCCAGGTGTTGCTTGACTCGAACACTCATCAGCCCCAACCAGCACTGCCCCAGATCTACAGTTACTATCTTGCCACCACCTCTATATCAGGGATGAGAAATGCCTCAATCAGCTGGTGTGAATCTCAGCTGATTTATCTGCTGACGATTTACAGCAGTATGGAAAGCCTCAGTGATGGGATTGTAATTGTCTAACTTACAATGCAGAGTCTCTGCTGCCATTGCTTCATTACTGAGTGCTGAGGTCTTATCCCAGCTGGCTGCACCACAGGCAACTATCTTGTTATTATTTGAGGGTGATAAAGGAATTGGTGCCAGCAGCTTTCTCCCACGCTTTTCCCCACACTTCTCGCTTAGTATGGAAGATTGTTTTTCCTTCAGGATCAAAGCTATGTTGTTGCATTGGTCTCAGCAGACTTTTCCCACAGTAACTCAACTGCCATAGATACCATATCAAAGCTGAAGAGTCTCAATGCCACTATCTATCCCTGCTGCATTTTTCAGTGGGGGCTTTACTGTTACTGCCTTTGACTCAGGAGTGAAGAATCCTTGATATCAATGTCACTCCCAACTTCTTTTTATTTTGCTTTCCTCTTTTCAATGATAGCTTCACTTGGTATTGACACTGAAGGAATCATTGAGCATTCATTAGGTTTCCTTTCATCTAGCTGCAGCAGCCCTTGAAGTGTTTGGTAGTGGCAGCATCTGTGCATTGCACATAGCATTAACTTTTCACGTCACCAACATTTGGGGCAAAGAGGTTTTTCTTTGTTCTTCCACAAATGGCATCTTTCAAGATCGGTGTCTCGTTGCTAGAACATATAATCAACTATTAGATAACAGTTGTAGGTGTAGAGATGACTGATTAACTACTGTTTGGACCAGAAGTCCAGATTCACTTCCTACAGACTTCCTCAGGACCAAGAACCACTGCTTTATGTAAGGAGGGCCATTAATATGTCTGCTACCCTTTGTACAGGGAAGTTTAGTAATGGTATAGACTTTCAGCACCAACTGTGCACATTGAGCAGCAGTCTGGGATTCAGAGAAATGTTGAAAACAGAACACTTTTCCTAGGGAGTTGCACCATTGAGCCCTCTAGCCTCCACTTCTGTGTGACAGGGATTTGTTGGTGGCATCTTCTTCACTTCTGTGGTCCCTTTTCAGGTGGCAGTATGCACTCATGATAGCTAACCCTTGCACAACAACTCCCCTTCTTCCCATGGGTAGTCTTTCTTGGATTGACCCTCACCACCTAATATTCATCCTAGTTTTCTCAGTCCAGGAAAAAAGGAAATGATTTCATGCCTTGGTAATTTGCCAGACTGTGTTTCTAACTGGCCAGCATCAGACCAGCTTTAGTTTTTATCTGCCGTAGCCACTGCTCAGCTTGTGCTCACAGTGTGTTTTTCTGTATTTTAAATTTGTTGCCACCTTGCAACAGTCCTGTTCTGGAGTGGGTTTATTAGCACTCCATGAGGGTTGTTGTTGCTGTTCCTCATTTTTCTTAGAAGAGTCTCATTAGTTGCAACCCTTGACTCAACAGTCTCTAGGTAGGTGCCTCCGTCCAACAGGCCTTGCTCAACTTGTTTTTTGTGCCTGCCCCTACCTTCAGGAACAGCTTATTACTCTACCCATGTGTGTAGCTGTGCAAAGACTACAAAGGAAATGGACATGTTGCTTTCCTGTAACCATAATTCTTGAGAGTGAAAATATGTGTGGACACGCAGCCTGTCCTTTCCATCTTCAGGGGTTAGTGTCTTTTGGAATTTTTAGATTGTTCAATTTTGGGCCTCTGTGTTGTTCAAAAATTTGAACTGTGCACATAGATGGTGGTAGTGCAGTATCCACCAAAACTCAAGCCTAGCTGTAGAATCTTCCAGAAAGACACTTTGCACAGGTGCAAAACCCGTATGTGTGTGTGCAAAGATGACTACACAATGAGCTAAAGGTACAGGTAAGCAACCAGCACTTCTCATTTCATCGCACCAAGAAATTAGAGTTGCCAACTTCAGAGCAATATTTTAAATAATGGTTTAAGTTAGTTAGTATCCTCGGTGGTTTGAAAGATGGTAACCATAGTTTCTCAGTTCAGCTGATGTAGGAAGTTATGGTTAATTAGAGACTTCTGGTCTGATTGCTATAGGAGCGCAGAGCACTGTTAGAAACTGAGATACGAAAGCTAGGAGATAATGGCACTTTAAGCCTAGGTTATGGGTGCAAAAACGGAATGTTTAGGACTTTTTTTAAAAAAATAGTGAGAATACAAAGCTGAAAATGAATGAACTGCAGCTAAAATATTATATTTGTTTTTCACTTGGTCTAGTCCTTCCCCTGCCCACCCTCCTAATATTCTTAAGAAGATCTCTTTTCCAATCTTCAGAGAGTACCTGGAAATGGGGAGGCAGAAAAAGGTTCCCCTTTCCTTCCACTCTACAGTTTTAATCTGAAATCATAGGTACAGTACTGCAGCCAGAGCTCAGAAACTGCTTGCACTAATGAAATTCCCTGTCGCAAAATGCGCCTAGAACAATGGGAGTTTTGAACACTGGCACAGGGAATGGCATGCAGGAACATAAAAGTCATATCTCAGTTTATTTAACCAATATATGACTGTCCAAATGTGGTTAGTGATCTCAAATGTAACAATGAACTTTGACTTTATTGTTGCATGAAGAATCCAGTGCAGGTGTTGGACTCGCATACTCTTCCTTCCTCCTTTGAGGTTGCCATGAGGGGTTTGGATATTTCCACTTCCATTTTCAATTAAGCACAGTTTAATATTATGTCTGAACTCCAGACTCTGATTAATTTTAACTGTGGCTTATTGAAACCAGCTAAGGTTGTTTCAGTAATCATATTCAAGACTAACAGTTTGTTCAGGTTCAGTCAAAAAGATAAACTGTGCTTAATAAAATGCAAGGAAAAGCTTCTGATCTCACAGCTACGCTGACTGAGGAAGCATGTGATTCTGATGCTTAGCCTTGTGATGGTAAAGCTGTAGTTATGTCAGAGCAAGGCCGGCATATGAGAATTGGACAGGTGTAGATGAAGTCATGTATTTAACTGTTTTGTGTCTGAAACTTAAATGATTCCATGCAGCTAACCCAAATACAAAGAACTGGACAAAATACTTGGGAAAGCAAAAACATCCTTGCTGTTTCATTTGCTCCACTTGTGCAGCCAAGCAAGAGTGACAGCAGCAAAAATGATACTGTGGGACTTCGTAAGTACCATTTAACTCTAGTCTTTCCTTTGGGGCGCAGCTACTGATGATACTTACATAAATATTCTTAAAGTTATATTAGAATGTATTGCATCAGAACTCAGGCTTTTGGTGTTTCTCACTTCAGACAAACCATGAGCTGTAATCAACGGTTTTTCTTGGTCTACCACCCATGATTTGTCTGGCGGAGACAAACCATGAGCCCAAGTTCATATGTAACATTGAACCAAACCTTAGCCCTGGATAGCATGGCAGCTGCAGAATTGTGGGAAGAGTGTAGTGGCTTCAATCTTCACACCATGAACCTGCATGTTCGTCATTATTTGACCTAGCATTACCTATGAAGTGAGCTACATTCTGTTTAACATGATCTGGTTTAAAAATATGTGGCTAGGGGCACCTATTTGAAGGAACTACATAATAACTCTATGGCCCCACTCTTTTGATAGAATTCTCTTGTAATCTATCAAATTTTGGGCAAGATAGTCATGAAAAAGTGACATGATATTATTACCCACCCACCCTCAATAAATGGGCAGGGCAAACCTCATGCCATATCAACAAAGTGTTCTTGACTGTCCAGTTCAAACCTGCAGCATGAGTCAGTGTGACTACTGCTCAAGGAAGAATAAGTCTAAAACTCTGTTGGTTCTGTATAACTAGTTGCCTTTAACTGGATACTGGCCAACATAACTGATCTTTTGGCATTGAAAGCATTCTAGTTGTCATCCATTTCATAGTATATTATTTTTACCTTTACTTCTTTCAAAGGTTATTTCCTTTACCTAGTTAAAAGTTTCACCATCGATTTGCAGTACTGCTCTTAGATAACTTGACCTAGAGAGCAATCTTAATTTTCTCTTTCTTTTCAGCCCCCTGTGCTGTTAGGAATCTACAGGACTTGGCTCGGATCTACATTAGGCGCACTCTTAGAAACTATATAAATGATGAGTTGCAAGCCAAGGGTATTATTCCGAAACCTCCACCCAAACGCAAACGCAGACGGTGCCGTAGGCGCAGGATTAACACCTATGTGTTTGTAGGCAATCAGCTCATTCCTCAGCCTCTAGATAGTGAAGAAGATGAAAAGATGGAAGAAGACAACAAAGAAGAGGATGAGAAAGATCACAGTGAAGCCTTGAAGCCAGAAGAACCCCCAATAAATTTATTGCGGGAAAGAATTATGAGTCTACCACTTCCTGAATCTCTAAAATCGTACTTGACATACTATAGAGAAAAATAATTTGTTTTAAGTAGATGTGATAATGCCTACTTGATAGATCCATTAATCTTGAAATGTAGCATTTACTAAGAAAAACATGGACAGATTTCAGTAGTCTTTCAGTAAGACTAAAGTGCAGTGATAAAATGAAACATAACTTGTCTTAACTTTGCTACAAGGACTTGCACTTAGCAGTAAACTCCTATTTTCAATTCATTTTTGGTTACCTTTTGAAAAATGCTCTTTTAACTCTGATAGAAATATATTCCAAAGCAGTATACCGCACTAATTAAGAGTTTGCATGTGATAAATCTCTTTTCCGCTCTGACAAATTTGTATTTATGAGAGTTGGTGAAATTTTATATGTGTGAATAATTGAATGACTACATTCAGACATCAAATGAGAACTGCCTGCATTAATTCTCTGGAGAAAGTTTTTGAGCATACGGGCAGTTCATCTCATGTTGAATTGGAAAACTTTATTTTTGCCATGGCTGTATCACAATCATCGTTACTGTGTTGATGTGAATGTATTCCAAGGAATACATGAGTGCAATAACTGTGTGCAGACACTGAATGAGCTGGCTTTAAAAAAATATGAACATTCAAGTTCAAAAATGTCAGTAGGCCCTGCTACACTTTATTTTATATATTCTCTTGCCAAAAGATCTCAAGAAAAGTGACTGCTTCTCTTTCAGAGCCTTAAAAAACTTTTGTTGACTATGTAAATTTTTAAAAATATAATACAACCCTGTTTCTTTAACACCAGCCGATGATAGTCAACAATTTCTCAGACTTTCCAGCATTTATGAATAAGCATTTAGTTTCTTTTTTAAAGTTCATGGTACAGAAACCATATTTCATATATTAAAGATTGTAATTTAGGTTTCAACTATTTACTACTTTATAGAGTAGAATATGTAAAAAGATTAGCTTGTATTGCTTATTTGCATAGCTGTAATAGTAGGATTTTCTTTTTTAAGAGAAAAGGTTAAGCAGGTGCACTTTAAGTGGAATCTGTACTTATTTATCTCTGATAAGACAAGGCATTCAGTTCCTACATTTGCTCTTGATACTCTTCCTTTTGGAAATTATTAGTAGCATTGCAAGCTTGTACGCTTATATTGCTTGACTATATTCCATCTGCCAGCCCCCTGCTTCACTGGTTTATTTAATGGCATTGCTTGAAGGGGTTGGTTTTTTTTTTAATTTTTGCATGATGGACTATGTAATTTTCACTAGCTTTATAATTTAGTGTAAAATATCAATGAAATAAAATGGAGCTCAAGATATGCTGTAAAAACTGCTGCTGTTATGGACACCTGATTTGTTTGGGCCCAATCAAAAGCATTCCTTAGGGACTATTTACTATCTAGTTATATCATAAAACAATTAAAATTCTTAAGATACAATCAGGATTTATGGTGAGCATTTTACATATTCTCAGAGCCTGATAGTTTGTAGATGGAAACCAGTTAAACAACACCTGATCTAGCAGTCATGGTTTGTAGCATCCACTTCACAATATAAATAATAACTTAATTGGTCACTGTCTATGAAATACATATTTTTACTTAACAGGTTGGATTTCATGCTTTAATTTGCCAAGTAATTCCCCCCCCCCCCCATATTCACAATACTGAAAATTCAGCTCCATAAAAAAATCCTTCTGGTTTAACTAGCTTGATGAGTTGTTTGCAGAAAATGTACACTAATGAGTAAATATACTCATTGCTGGAAATAAGTATGCCAGCCTTATTTCACGGCAATAAAACCTATTTCCTACTATAGTAAAACTACTGCAGTAGTTCTGAAGGTTTATCTGTGGGGAGCATTGACTATAGCACATCTTATTTTATTTTATTAGAAGAAATGAAGTTTTAGGCATTCTGAAATTCAAGTTGTACCTTGTATTGGAATTTCATCCTTTTTGGAATTTCTTCATATTTTTTTCAGTTTTCACAGAGTAAAATATTAAATAATTTACAAGGAGAGACCTTTAGTCAGGAGGCTTTTGAAGAATGACTTTGTGTGTTTTTCCATTCTGTTGTACTCTTGTTCAGATAGATAATAGAGTAGTTATGAATATGCATTATGTAATTTTTGGAGTCACAGAAGCAATGTTTCTTTTGTGTTTGTGGGTTTTTTCACATTCTTTGATTTATATTTACTTTTAAAAGTATAAAAATGCAAAATGAATCGAAATTAAACTTTTGTCATAATTACAATAAAATGTCTGGTGATTTTGTGCTGATTAAAACTCAATTATTGTTTCTTTTTGCTTGGCTTTTTTGCTTAGTGATCTAAGATATACTTACAATGCCACAGTTGAAAGCACTGGTGTTCTTGGGAAGCTTGAACATCAATTATATCAGTATATTGCTATTTGTGTAAAATGACAAAAGGTAAAATAGCCTGTCATGACATCACGTAAGGACTACTAACTACAGTGGTACCTCGGGTTAAGAACTTAATTTGTTCCGGAGGTCCCTTCTTAACCTGAAACTGTTCTTAACCTGAGACACCACTTTAGCTAATGGGGCCTCCCGCTGCTGCTGCTGCTGCTGCGCCGCCGTGTGATTTCTTTTCTCATCCTGAAGCAAAGTTCTTAACCCGAGGTACTATTTCTGGGTTAGCAGAGTCTGTAACCTGAAGCGTCTGTAACCCAAGGTACCACTGTATATAACAAGCCACAGGTGCAATGAACTGGCTTGCTAGAGGATGTGATTGCTGCTACTCCGTAATTGGATTCTGTACCATATCTCTAAGGAATAAATTCTAGAGTAATTGCCACACTGGGCCTCCTCCAGCAAGAAGGATGGATATATTTTGAATAAATGCAGGGCTTTTTTTCAGCCGGAAATCATTGGCACTATTGCCATTATAAAAGAACAAGGGAAGCGTTCATGGTGAGTTTTGGCACCTCTTTTTCCAGAAACAAAACACTGGGTAAATGATAACAGTAAGCATTGAGAACCTGTGATTCCAGGTGTTAGTGAACATCTAATTACCCGTCAACCCCAGCTAGAATAGCCAGTGATTAGGAAGGTGCAGTCCACCTGAGAATCTCAGGTTAGCCACCCCTTCTATATACTCTTCTCAGTTGTGTTGCCACTGCAGTGTGTGTAGCATGCATGTCTATTTCCCAATGTATCTACAGTATGTGGAGGAAGCTTCGCATATCACCAGGTTCCTATGCAGTCCACCTAGAGCAAAATTGGCATGCATATCTCTTTCCAGACAACCATGTTCGCTTGCCCCCAGTGTAGGATAGTTGTCACAGGTGAATTAACCTTGTGTACCATCTTTCTGTGTGCAGTACTCATTCATTCAATTATCATGAATGAATTAATGTGCAGTATATATGGTTGTGGAAGACAGGAGTGCCTGGCGTGCTCTGGTCCATGGGGTCATGAAGAGTCGGACACGACTAAACAACAAATATATGGTTGTAGATTTTAAAAAAATAACAAAATAGTTTAAATACAATAGAGGTAAGAAAGAACAGTAGAGAGAATAGTAGGTCAAACCAACTAGCATTCTCAATCTACATGGAAGGATGAGTATCCAAAGTTGGCCAGAGCCCTCTGATGGCTTTGCTTCCCTAGATTCTACCCAAATTCTATAAATGATCAATCTGGTAATGAGACCTTTGGCTGCAATATTCTCTCCTAGTACAAGAGCTTTTGCACTAATGGACGAATGAGTTTTAATGTAGCACAGCAGAAGAATCACATGTTACTGGACACTTGTGTAACAGGTTGTGCGAACTATTGCGCAGCAAAGTTACTGGCAATATGCTTATGTATTTGCTTCTGCAACGGCATTCTGCTGGCACTAAATATATCGCCAGCAGAACAAGTAATACCGCTGAGTGATTAACAGCGCTGCAATGGATACAACCCCATCTGATTACATCATGCAAGCTGATTGTAAGTCTTGGATTTTCTAACTTGAATAGGACATTATAATGTTATGCCAGCTGCAGTGACTCCCATTTCTAGGCCCAGTTCATAGTGCTGGTTTTGACCTTTTAAAACCCCTTCACACCTTAGGGCCAGGGTACTTGAAGGATCAGTTGTGTCTCTGTAAAAACTTAAGTGGAGGGACTCCTCACTCCCGTTACCCTTGCCATCTGAAGTAAGGCTGGTGGTGAGAGATTTCTCTTCATATATACAAGTGGTCATGAATTTGGACAACCTGGATGTCCTGGTGCACTCACGAGTCACTCCCCCCCCCCCCAAAATTAGGATGGAATGAAGCATTCTATTGTAGACAATAGAATAGGTTGCCATGTTTGCTTGGTAGAGTGCTGTGCATGATGCCCATAGTAGTTTCTCTAGTTTGCAAATGTGCCCACAGGCCCCTAAAGGTTGGCAACTCGTACTCTATATGGTGACTCTTCAGCGGGAACTGGTCCATTCTATGCCAGTTATCATTTGGTTTAAAAAACTCCACTGAAGAATAGGTTGCACCACAAGAGGGCAGTGTTGCCACACAGGTGAATTAGGAACAACTGCACATAAATGCTTGCATTATTAATAAAGCAAACTGCAGATTTCTAAAGCTGCATAGAGAAATCATTTGTGCAAATACAGATCCAGCTATATAGCTGAAGCCTCTATGTTCCTATAATTCATAAATAACGGAGAGAGACAGCAGAACTGCTGCCTGGCTTTGTTCACATTTAATCACATTGGGATTCTCTGGTTAAAGAGAATTACAACCATTCATATACAGATTTCTTCATTATACGGGACTAATTTCGCTCCCTCAAACATTCCGTGTAAGCTAGAAATCACATTTGAAAATGACTGCTGTGTTTATTTTTATGTCATTGAAAGCATTATTTAGTTTCCTTGGGACAAAAACAAGTGTACTCCAAAGTTCCTCCATAAATAGTCACTAGGTCATAATTAAGCTGTGTATAGTTTTAGTGAATGCATCTATTTTGTGTTGTCTTCGATGCAGACATGTTTTTGTAGAATAGCAGCTTGACTTCTTCAATAACAAATTTCCAT